TTCTTCTTCTTCTTCTTCTTCTTCTTCTTTCCCTCTCCTTTGGTCTTTATCTCTTTGCAAGTGCTTTCATTTCTTTCGCAATTGGGTGGCATTGTCTTTCATTGTGAATTTGCACTTGGGAAATGACCAGGATCGTAACAATTGGTATCAGAGCGGACTTACTTGCTGGCGAGAGGTGTTAGTCACCCTAACCCTAATTTCGAGTTAGGTTAGGACTAACCTAATCTCGGATTAGGGTTGGAAGTTAGGGTTAAGTGGGGCAGTGAGGTTTGTGGATACTGCCCCCACCTGGTTAGGTCATGTAGGGTCGACATTTGACCTGACCAGGTTGCTTGAGTGAATGGTTGGGGTGGCGAGACACAAAGGAGGCTGATTGGAGTAAGCGAGAGGGAGTAGAGAGTGAGAGGTACTCGCACCTGGAATCTGCACTTCAAGAAAACATTGAGTGACTTTTGGGCTTCCCCTCAAAAGGGAGACCTGATCGGAGGCTGCCATATGTGCATCGAATTGCTGCAAGTTGCTACTTTGGTCTTCAGACATCGACGGGGGATCCGGCTTTGCAACAGGGGTGTAGGAAGGCCCTCTTAGTCATGCTAGGACACTTCGTGTAGTGGTAGCTAGGGGTCAGGAGGACTTATGAGAGGGGGGTGAGTCATTATCCATCTTTGGAGGTCGGGCCTCACAGGTAAGTGCCGTGTGACCGGGTTAGCCCGTGGGAGGTTGCTTGGTGCTTCATGGCCTGTTGGGGGTGTGCTGGGCTCTCTTCCTCTTCTCTGCAGTCTTGGCTGTGTGTGTGAGCATGTGGATTGCTTTCTCACCTGATGGATGGATGGATGATGTATCTTCTAAATGACATATCTTTCTACTTTGCAATGTCTTTTCATTTCTGAATGGCTGTAGGGGTAAGTTCTTGCTAAAAGTTGTCTTTTCCTTTTCAGTACGGTAGAGGCAGTTTGGGACTGACTTGGTACCCCTATCACGTTGGTCCTGGTCCACGACCTACTTGGGACCCCTCGGGACCCAATGGGACCAGGCCCAACGGGACAGGACCTTTCGGGCCCAAATTTGTTGCCGCCTGTGCATCTCTTTGCTGCGCTGAATTTGGGGGACATACGGCTAGCAAGGACATTCCTTTCAAGGGGATCTTGACTGGTGTTACTGCATGTTATCACATACTGCCCCGCGTCTAACTCGGCGACCGTTTGCACCCCTCGAAATCTCCATTGTTGCAGTTAGTTTTCTTCGGCTGAATTATTGTGATACATGTCCCTTGTCAGGTTAGACAAGAGGGGATCTCCAGCTAATCTGATCGGGCCCGTTCTATAAGTCAGCCCTCTCTTCCGTTTTATTTATTTATTTATTCTTTTATCCTGCTGCGTGCCATTCTCTAAGTCCAAATGAATCGCCGCTCCGGCTAGGAGTCCTACCTTCTTCTCTATGTGATTTTCTGCTTGTTTCTTTCATCTAAACTATCTATGTCCGGTATTGAGACACGTGCGCAGACAGCGGGAAGAAAGAGAAGGGAGAGAGGTGTTTTGTTTGAGAGTGTGAGGAAGGGCAAGAGGAGTGTTCGTCCAAACGTAAGGAGAGAGCGGACCCCTCTTGAGAGAACTGCTAACACCCCTTCCTCCGGCATGGCAGACATCACATCTGCCCAATGGCAGGCCATGCTGAACGCAGCAGATGAGAACGAGAGACCGTTCTTCCAAAAGCTTTATGATGATGCCGTGCAGAGGGAAAGGAAGGTAGAGGCAGCAGCTAGAGCCACCAGCATTGCTGATCAAGTGGCCCTCCTCCAGGTCCCGGAAGCGAACGCTGACCGGTTCCAGGAGAAGCTAGCTGCTTCCGTAGCAGCTTTGGTTCGACTGCGAAACTTAGAAGACCTTGAGCCTCGTGTAACAACACTGGAGCAGCGGAACCAGGAGCTGCAGGCTGAGATCATCAGCCTCAAACAGTCCCAACTGTCTGCCCCCCGCCCTCCTAACCCTCGACCTGCCGCAGTCCCAGTCTCTCAATCTAACACAGCCCTCATGGCAAGAGCAAGTGGAACTATGACGAGCACAGGAACCGGTGCCAGCTCCTCAAGCGGCAGCGCCGGCAATTCTGCACTAGTCATAGTCCTAAATGCAGGGACATCAACCCAAAACGCCACAGTCCTTACTGGCGTTCAGTACAGCGGTCCCGTAGTGGACAAGTGTGGGGCCACCTTGCCGTCCAAGTACGACGGGAAAGCGGATATCACTTCTTGGATTAGTTCCATGCGTTCATACTTCGAGGTCATGCGGACACCGCAAGAAGACCGAAGCATGATCATGGGCACTAATACTGAGCCCGCTGTACGGAATCACATTGAGCTCCAAGCTGTTGCTGCAGGTTATGAAAGAATTGACCTGACCGAGTGGCTGAAAGTAACTCCCGCACGGTACCAAGATAAGCATGTTGCGCTCAAGGCTAGGCTGAAGCTTGAGGCCCTCAAGGGCCAAACATGGAGGTCCTCCATGCAGGCTTTGGAACAACACTTGACTGGTCCGTTCACCACTCTAGATCTGGGAATGACCGACGTGTCTTGTATGGATGTAGTCATGGGAGTGGCCCCTAAAGAATACCTCTCCCTGTTAGCACTCAAAGACCATACCTCCTGGCGAGAGCTCATGACGGATCTAGTCAACCTAGAGGCCAAGGACCTCGCCAGGCGGAAGAAGGCGCCCGCTGCAGGTGGAAAACCACAACGCAAGCGGTATGGAAGCAGCAACCAGCTTGCCCTGCATGAACATCGGGAGGCTGAAGATCAGTCCTACGCGGATGATCTGTCTCTAGATGGCAATCTAGAGCCGGACTCCGATATGGGTTGTTCCACATCAGCCATTGAGTCTGATGTAAACGAAGACGAAAAACTTAAGGCATTTAAAAAGACTGCTTCAAACAAGGGGCCTAACCGTGGTTCGGATAAGGGAACTGTTGTCCACCTCCCCAAGAATGCGAAGATCCCTGAGAAACCGGAGGATGCATCTACCAAGCCTTGGGAAGCCCTCTGGATCAGTCAAAAGGAATGGGAAAGAAGATCTAAACTGTGCATATGCTTGCATTGTCAAAAGCCTAGGCATGGTGTGCAGGACTGTTATAGACCTCAGGGAAACAGGCAAAGGGCGTAGAGGAGTCATCAGCACTCCCTACAACAAGGGAAGCTGGAACGTCGGTTGCAGGCCCCTCCGATGAGCCTGAATCTGATCAACAGCCTACTCTTGAAGCCCGGAACGACGTTGAATCCAAGGCTGCTGCAGTTCATGTGCCATACGCGGAGCCTTGGGAGGAGTCTAAGGAAGTTGACTTCCACGCTTACCTGGAACATTGGCTGCAACTCAAGCAGCAACGTCGTGTTCAAGGGAGTGTGGAGCTAACCTTTTTTAAACTGCTCATTCACCGCCGATACATCCGGGTGCTGATTGATAGTGGTTCAACCACTAATTTCTTTTCTCCTAACGGGATTCGTAAGGCGGGCCTGGGAATGAAGCAAGTGGAACTGCAGAACCCTTGTCAAACCCAGGTGGGCAACCAAGAGGTTGTCACCTCTACACATGTTGTCAAAGGTGTGTGCGTCACCTTTGACAAGGACCGCACTGTCACACATGAGCTCAACTTTTATGTCATGGACAAGTGTCCATTCGACGCGGTCATTGGCTTGGGCTGGTTAAAGGCTCATTGCCTAAGGACCACGTGGGGGGACAATCGGTTCGTGGTGCTTGATGCCAAGGGGAACGAGCGTACCCTCTTATTGGATGAGACGCGCGAGTCCCCTGTGACTCTTCTAAGTGCAAACAAATTCTGCAAATCAGTGCGCAGGCGCAAGGAAGCTGGGCATGTACATATAGCTCTTGTAAAGCCTCTCCATGTGCCTTCTACTTTTGCTGCATTTTCTACCTCGGTAAGTAACTCTACTTCTACCACCTCTACTTTTATTCCATCTACTTCTGTTGTGAATAATCCCTCTACTTCTGGCCCAAGTACTTCAAATCCGGTTGTGATTGCTGTAAATTCTCGTTCTGATTTTCTTTCTCCTGATGAGGATGATCCTCCACCAGAAGTCCCAACAAACATTCGCCGTCTATTAGATCGATTCCCTAAAGTTCTGGCCGAACCTCGTGGAGTCCCCAAGCGTCCGGTCAAACACAAAATCGAAATAATAGAAGGGAGTGTTCCTCCAAAGGGTTGCGTCTACCGTATGGGACAAGGCGAGTTGGAGGAGTTGAGGAGGCAGATTGATGATATGATCGACCGTGGATGGATTAGGCCTAGTGAGTCTGAGTTCGGTGCACCTGTCCTGTTTGTGCCGAAGAAAGGAGGCAAACTCCGGATGTGCATTGACCATCGTGGCCTAAACCGTATCACCCGCACGAACGCGTACCCCTTGCCTCGTATAGATGATCTGCTGGATGTTGCAGGTGGGTGCAAGGTCTTCTCCAAGATCGACCTCAAGTCTGGCTACCACCAGATTGAAGTTGATCCGAGTGACCAGCACAAAACTGCATTCAAAACACGCGATGGGCTGTACGAATTCATCGTTATGCCCTTCGGTCTTACGAATGCACCGGTCACATTTCAGTGCCTCATGGACAAGGTACTTCGCCATCAACTCAACAGGTTTGTGGTCGTGTATCTTGACGATATCCTGATCTTCAGCAAGTCCATGGAAGAGCAGGTCAAGCACCTTGAGGAGGTCCTGCAAGTCCTCAAGGAGGCGCAACTGCACCTCAACTTAGAGAAATCTGAGTTTGGAAGGGACAACGTTATCTATCTTGGGCACCGGTTGTCTGCAAACGGCCTTGAGCCGGAGGCAACCAAGGTTGAGGTCATCTGAAAGTGGCCTCAACCGGCGAACGTGCGCGAACTGCATTCTTTTCTTGGTTTGGCCTCATACTACCGAAAGTTTGTGCCCAATTTTCTGTCATTGCTCACCCACTCTCGAGACTAACCAGTAAGAATGTTGCCTATGCGTGGTGTGAGAAGTGTGAGACTGCGTTCCAAACCTTGAAAGAGGCATTGGTGAGTCATCCTGTGCTCCGCATTGCGGATCCCAACCTCACGTTCGTAGTCACTACGGACGCGAGCCAGTTTGGGATTGGTGCAGTGCTGCAACAAGATGATGGTGATGGCCTGCGTCCGCTCGAGTATTACAGCAAACGCATGCCCAACCACAAGGTAGCTACTTCCACATATATGCGTGAGCTCTACGCCCTGCGCGAGGCACTCGCACATTGGAAGCACTACCTCTTGGGTCGTCACTTCAAGGTCTACTCAGATCATCAGACCTTGCAGTGGATTCAGACACAAATTGATCTCTCTCCTACATTGACCCGCAGGTTGCATGACATTGATGTCTATAGCTTTGAGTTGAAACACAAGAAAGGCTGTTATAACCGGGTTGCTGATGCATTGTCCCGCCATCCTGAATTTTTGACTTGCCTTGTGGGTTCGTATGACCTCCGAAGGAAACTGAAGGAGGATCTGGTCGAACACACCACCAAGGATCCGGACCTTAGTCCTATCCTTGAGCAGCTCAAGGATGACCCTAACAGTCAGCCTGATTTTCATGAATGCGAGGGTCTTGTGTTCCGCCGGTATGGAAAATTTGATTGTTTGTGTGTACCCAACCATGCGCCTCTCCGAACTCATTTCTTGGATTTGGCACATGGTCGGAGTGGACATTTCGGCTCCGATAAGACTTATGAAAGTCTTCTACAGCAGTTTGATTGGCCAGGAATGAAAGGATCTGCTCAGAAATTTATTGTTGAATGTCAGGTATGTCAAAGAATCAAGGTCCACAGGCATAAGCCTTATGGCCTGCTAAGACCCCTCCCCATTCCTGATGGACCCGGCGAGTCGATTTCCATCAACTTCACGGACATGGGAAAGGTAAGTGAGGCTGGAAATTCACAAGTCATGGTCATCGTGGACCGTTTTTCCAAATTTCTGAACTTGATTCCTTTCCCTCCCCATGCCCCGACTGAACTTGTCATTGAAGAATTCCATCAGCAGTACATTCTGCAATTTCACCTCTCAAATCTATGACATTAAACTGAACAAGACTTATGGTCGACACCCCGAAGCCAATGGATTGGCCGAGGAGATCAACCAGACTGTCATCCAACTACTTTGCGCATTGATTGTTCCAGATCAAAACACGTGGGACAAGGAGTTGCACAAAGTGAAGGGACTGTATAACAACTCCATTCACTCTGCAACTGGCGTGACACCAAACCAGTTGCAATACGGATGGCCGATGCRTAATCCCCKCTCCTATCTGTTCCCYGAAMRGTCACCTGGTCTGATGCCYGGCATGCCTGGCTACAATGYCAAGTACGCACGCTTGCTCAAAGCTGTTATTGCAGCCATGAACAAGCGCCAGCATGCCATGATCAAACATGCTAACAAGTTGCGCAAAGAAGAAAAATTCAAAGTAGGGGATTATGTTTGGGTCAAAATGTCTGAGTTTTCTGAGGAAGAGCGTATATCACGAAAACTCCTTCCATTGTACTATGGCCCTTGGCAGATTCTGAAGGTGATTGGGGATGATTTTGGTCCTTCATATGTGATTGACGTGCCTCCTCATCTGCGTACGTATCCGGTCTTTCATGCGTCCAAACTGTTCCCACACATTGATGATGAGACGTTTCCCTTCCGAGACCCTATGATACCTCGCTCTATCGACAGCGGCCATGAGAGAGACAAAATCGTTTCTCACGAGGGAAGAGGGAGGAACAGACAGTACAAGGTTCACTTCCTCTATCACCCATTGACTGAATTCTTCTGGATCGACCGAAAAGAGTTGCTAAAGAGTGTTCCCCGTGTTGTGAACGCTTATGAACGACAGATCGTTGAGGGACAAACTGCTAAATTTGTTCCAAAAATGACTCCTCACGGACTTACTAAGTCTCTCTTTCTGATTTACTCCTACAATGCATTTTGTGCCAACTCTGAATGAGTTACTCACTCGAAGGGACCTCGCTCTTGAGAGGAGGGTAATGTAATGACCCGCCAAAAACAGAGACTGAGAACACTGCTAATTTTTGGGATTTGCCGCTGGAATGAATGCCTTGTTGAAATTTCGCATTCTGCTGTGATTTCCATGTCTGTGTGTGTGTGTGCGTGCCTGCTGGTTTGCATGCCTGTCTGAGTGCTTGTCGGTTGAGTGTGTGTGTGACCCACAAGGGTACTTGTTGGTTGCAAGGCCCCGCAGGGCCGGTACTTACCTGTCGCCGTGACTGTGAAGGGTTGCAGGGGGAAAACACTCAAGTACCGGGGGTAGGCCCGCGACACTTAGAGCAGAGGGGAAAAACACTCAAGTAGCAGGTAGGCCGGTACCACTGAAGTAGTGGTAGAAGTGTCGGGTACTGGAGGCCGAGCAAAAGACAAAAAGTTGGCATTTTTAGAGGCCYAGTAGCGGTASGTTAGAGGTAGGCTGGTACCAGTCCAAGTAGCCCGGGTCTAGGGCCTGTACGGAGGATAGCAGAGCCTGCAATGATGTTTCCCTCCGAAAAGGAGGARGTACCGGTTGCTGGGAGGCCGCTCGGCCTAGGAAGTCACCGCCCAGGAGGCCGGTAGGCCGCTATATCTCCAGGAAGAGCAAAGAGCTCTTCCTCATTTGCGGTGTGCAAGGATTGGCGACATGCTGCTGGAGCGCAGCGCTGGTCTGGTGCAGCGCTGCTTGGAGGTGAAGGGCCGCTGGAGCTCAGCCTGGCTATGGCGAGCAGTCCAGCTTGAGGAGGAGGAAGAAGGGGGCATGGTAGGAGAGTGGCGAGGCACTTACCTGGCTATGGTAGACACCATCTTCATCACCTTGTTGGGCGCTGCATCTGGAAGGCCCCAGTTGGGGTAGTGCTGCACCAAGGAAGCTCSAGGCAGAGTCAGGCATAGCGGACCAGTCAGCAGCGGCATAGCTGCTTTGGGTTGTCCTTTGGACATCAGCGCAGCACCATAGCTGCTCTGGGTTGTCCTTTGGACGTCAGGGCAAGGCCCTCATTAGTCCGCCATAGCCTATGCATGAGAGAGGAGGCTGAAGGAGGGAAGCCATGGCTATGGTGGACTGGTTGTTGTTGTTGTTGTTGTTGTTGTTGTTGAGTTGAGTCAGCAGTAAGAGGGAACTTCGGATATTGATTCTGGTTCATCCATTCATTGTTATTATTATTATTGAGAGAAGAATAAGATTGGTGAAGTGAAGGAGGAGGAGGAAGGTGGAGAGAGAAGGGGGAATTGTCATTGGTCTTGCTGGTGTATATCTTCTTCTTCTTCTTCTTCTTCTTCTTCTTCTTTCCCTCTCCTTTGGTCTTTATCTCTTTGCAAGTGCTTTCATTTCTTTCGCAATTGGGTGGCATTGTGTTTCATTGTGAATTTGCACTTGGGAAATGACCAGGATCGTAACAATATGATCCATATCTCGATTGAAGCATGTCATCCTTGTGCAGCGGCCTTGTTAATCTTCTCTGTATCGGTCCAATTTCAATGTTGAACGGAAGTCTCAAAGATTCTCTCTCTCTCTCTCTCTCTCTCTCTCTCTCTCTCTCTCTCTCTCTCTCTCTCTCTCTCTCTCTCTCTCTCTCTCTCTCTCGACTTCTTCCCCCGTTTCCCACCACCCCGCCTTCGACTTTTCTCCCGCCTTCGGCTTTTCTCCCGTCATCTCCCACCTTCGGCTTTTCTCCCACCATCCCGCCTTCCGCTTTTCTCCCACCATCACGCCTAGGGCTTCTCTCTCTCTCTCATCTTCCTCCTCACACCATCGTCTCACCTCCCTCCATCCACCTTTCTCCCTGCTCCCGTTTTCTTCCTCCGCTTCCCACCATCCCACCTTCGACCTTTCTCCCATCTCTTGCCATCATCTTTCCACCATCTCTACTTTTCTCTCTCTCTCTCACTCTTCCCNTGGTCCATATCTCGATTGAAGCGTGTCATCGTCGTGCAGGGGCCTTGTTAATCTTCTCTGTATCGTTCCAATTTAAATTTTGAACGGAAGTCTCAAAGGACCTCTCTCTCTCTCTCTCTCTCTCTCTCTCTCTCTCTCTCTCTCTCTCTCTCTCTCATTCTTTTCGTTGGACAAGTGTGGCGTTGTTTTTCTTCTGCCTTTTCAATTATGGGCCTGCGGTTGCTGGCACTGCCTGGCAGTACTTTGATTGGGTGCTTTGATCGAAGGCAGTGTTTGGACTGGGGGTTGGGGGGGGGGACGGCGGGGAGGAGGGATTGAGGGGCGGGAGGAGGGTTTGAGGGGCGGACGCTGTTTCCTTTGAAAAGTGTTGAAGAGGGGCTGACGCCTGGGCTGTTTGTGGATTGTGTGTGCGCAGGTGAAGCTATCAATGGCGCTGGCGAACCAGATCTTGCAGTCACGTGTTCCAATGTGTGTGTGTGTGTGTGTGTGTTCTAATGCAACATAAAAATAAAAAATAAAAAATATATGGTGCGCACCTGGCGCATATGTGGCCCGCCAGCGCACACCCCCCAGTGCACCCGCGCGCAGCGCATCGGCCCTGTGCGCAGCGCATCGTGCATCGCGCACCGCGCAGCCAGGTGCGCGGCACACGCCGGTGCATGCGCACCTCAGGTCCGTGCACCGTGCGCTGCGCAGCGCACAGGGCCGATGTGCCGCAAGTATGCTTAACAGTCATTCAGCACGGAGAAAAGGGCGCTTGCAAAAGCTGCAAAACATTAACTGAACACTTCTGAAAAGTGAAAACACAAATGTGTCAAAAAAGAAAAAAAAACAAAGTAAAAAGAGGGGAAAAAAAAAAAGAAGAACAAAAAACGGATAAGGAAGTGTTCTGAAAGGTGCTCATGTTGCAGACACCTGAGTCCCGGTTCTAGAGTCCCAAATTGTCCCAGTCCCAGATGGTCCCAGTTGCAGATAGTCCCTGTCCCGCCTGTCCCAGTGGTTAGGTCCCAGGAAGGGTATGTAAAGGTCCCAGGGCCCGTGGGAAGTTGAAGCGTCGCATGCCATGTCGGGCCAGTACCGAATCAGACCGGTAAAGTCCAACCGGTACCCGACAAGGGAAGTCCAATTTTGCAGCAGCATCCCAGGAAAAGTCCGGAAGGTACTGGGCAACAAAAAATCATGCAGTAGACAGGCCGCGGGCGACCTCTACCTGTCAGAAGCAGACTAAGGCCAAGTCAAGCAAATACTAATAGCTGATACAGTGCAGCTCCCACATCTTTGGTCCTGCATGAGATGTAAGCGCTGCTGGTTGCTTGCGTGACCTCACAGGTTGGATCAGGCGCCAGAGGGCCTGCTGGGCAGCACACCAGTTAGGGTCAATGAAGGAGAAGGCGGCCATAGCTGCAGTTCCAGTTGAAGGAGGACGGATGTATCCAGGGTTACAATCCAAGTAGTAGCACACACACACATACACACACACACACACATACAGGGGGGGAGAGAGAGAGAGAGAGAGAGAGAGAGAGAGAGAGAGAGAGAGAGAGAGAGAGAGAGAGAGAGAGAG